TCTTCCAGGGCTGCCATTTTGAATTTTCTGTTCAGCTTTTTGACTTAATAATTTTTTTCCATTTGCCTTACAATTAAAAGCAAGTTCCAGAGTCTCTTCCGACATCCATGCTGATCTTTTCTTTCTTGTGGTTTCAGTGACCTTTTGCTTTCTTCATGTATGATGCCTCATGTGCTCCCATAGCTCTTCAAGTCCTCTGTCATTAATGCTTAATGTGTCAAATCTGTTCTTGTGATGTTCTCAAAAGTCAGGTGCGATAGACTCAAGGTTTCATTTTGGTTCAGGTGGACATGTTTTAATTTTCTTCATCTTCAACCTGAATTTACATACGAGCAATTGATGGGCTGTTTCACAGTCAACCCCTGCCCTTGTTTTAGCTGCTGATACTGAGCTTCTCCATTGTTTCATCACACAGATGTAGTCAATTTGATTTTTATGTATTCCATCCGGAGAAGCCCACATATTCAGTTGCCTTTTGTGTTGTTGAAAAAAATATACTTGCAATGGAAAAGTCGTTGGTGTTGCAAAATTCTATCATATGATCTCCTGCTTCATTTCTATCACCAAGGCAATTTTTCCAACTACTGTTCCTTCCTCTTTGTTTCTAAATTTTTCATTCCAATCACCAATAATTGTCAATGCATCCTGTTTGTCCATTTGGTCAATTTCAGCCTGAAGACTTTGCTAAAATTTTTTGATTCTTTCATCACTAACTGCAGTGATTGGTGCATAAATTTGAATATGCATATTGACTTAGTTTCCTTGCATATGGATAGATATTATCCTGTCCTTTCACAGACAGCATTGTACTTCAAGATAGATCTTGAAATGTCCTTTGACAATGAATTCAACCCCACTCCTCTGATGGTATCAATGCTGCCACAGTAAACCATGTCATTGTCTGATTCAAAATGGCCACTGTGAGCCCATCTTGCCTCTGATTCAGCTTAGTACTTCAATCTGTAAGCATTCTGTTTCATGTTTGACGACTTCCAAAATTCTTTGATTCATTTCTTGGGATATTCCAAATTTCAATAACTAATAGATGTTTTAACGGTTTCTTCTTATTTTGAATGGTGCCCCATCAGCAAATGTCAGGCCTCAAACTTTACACCATCTATGTCATGATGACTGGCTCTACTTTGAGAGGGATCCTCTTTTGAGCATTTTCCAACCTGAGTGGCTTGTCTTCTGGCACATCTGACGATATCCACTGGGATTGAAGCGATTTTCCCTGTTTGACAATGGTTTACCGCTCTTCACCAGGTGTCTATGGCTAATTCCTCTGATGTCAACCTCCTAGTCCTTCTTCAGAGCCTATTCTTAATCT